AGAACAACATTGATGTCTTAGAGAATAACTTTTATGTCTTAGAGAACAACTTTGAAGAGCAAGATTAACTTTAGATGTCTCTGAGAATAACTTTTATAACATAGAAATTAACTTTAATGAACAAAAGTGAGTTACAGAATAACTTTGATGACTCTGTGAATAACTTTGATGACTTTGAGAACATGAGTAGTATTTTGTTAGCTCAGAGAATAACTTTTTGATGACATAGAGAATAACTTTTATGTCTTAGAGAAGAACATTGATGGCTTAGAGAGAATATCTTTGATGAAAGATGATGTCTTAGATTAACTTTGACGTCTCTTGGAATAACTTTGATGACTTTGAGAACAAGTTTGATAGCTCTGAGAAAGACTTTGTTGTCTTAGAGAATACCTTTGTTGTCTTAGAGAATAACTTTGAGGACTTAGAGAATTAATATGTTGAACGAAAGTGAGTTAGAGATTACCTTTGTTAACTCTGAGATTAACTTTGATGAACGAGAAAATACTTTTTGATGACTGAGATTAACTTTTTGATGACTCTGAGAATAACTTTTATGCCTCTGAGATTAACTATAATGAACGAAGATGTCTTAGAAAGATTCTCTGATGAACGAGAAAGATACTTTTTGATGACATAGAGAATAACTTTTTGATGACTCTGAGAATAACTTTTATGCCTCTGAGATTAACTTTAATGAACGAAGATGTCTTAGAAAGATTCTCTGATGAACGAAAGGTTACTTAGAGAATAGCATTTTGATGACTGAGATTAACTTTTTGATGACTCTGAGAATAACTTTTATGCCTCTGAGATTAACTTTAATGAGAAGATGTCTTAGAAAGTTTCTCTGATGAACGAAAGGCTACTTAAAGAATAGCATTTTGATGACTGAGATTAACTTTTTGATGACTGAGAATAACTTTGAGGATGCGAGTAAATTTTTGAGTGTTTGAGAGTGTCTTTTGGTATCTCGAAGAGTAACTTTGGTGTTACGGAGAGCACCTTTGACTATTTTTCTTACTTAACGACATATAATTTTTACGAAAGTAAAAAGTTACATTTGACTATTTTTCTTACTTAGCGACATATAATTTTAGTTACGAAAGTGTTGAAAAAGTTACATTTGACTATTTTAGTTGAGGAAAGACAAAGAAAAAAAATATGACGACAGTGACTATTTTAGTGCTCCACAAAGTATAAATGTCAGTTAAGAATGACGATGATAGATATCTTTGACTATATTTTCTTACTTGACGAAAACATAATTTTAGTTAGGAACAATGATGAATATGACTTTCTGTTGATTGATGGATAATTTTAGTTATGAAATGACAATGAAACATGAAGAACACGGTTATTTTCTGATGACTAGGGAATAAGTTTAGTTATGAACAGTGCTGGAAAGATTCCTTTGACAATTTTTAGCTAAGAGAAAGGTTGTTTTAGTTAAGAACGGTGTTGAATGAGATTAAGCCTGACTATTTTTTGGTTGATTGGATAATAAGTTTAGTTGAGAAATGACGAAAGTGACTATGTTTTAGTTGATTGGCGAAAGATTTTTTAAGAAGTTACAAGAAAGGTTTGTCTTAGTAAATTTGGAACTGAATAAAGTGTAGATTTGTTTAAGAACGGGGTTAGTAGAACTATTAAGTTGTCTATGAGAATTACTTTGACATAGTTTTGCAAATAAAAACTGGGTGACTAAAATTGTTGAGGGAACTGTATTGCAGTATAATATTATTTGACAAAGAACTAGTTAGTGAATCGAAGAAACAAATTGGTTTAAAGAAACAAAGAACATAAAAAAAAATTGAGGTTAAGTAGGGGAATGAACACAGTGAACATACGGTGAACACAGAAAAAATGTAAGAAAAAGTTGATGAATTGAGTGAACATGCAGGGAATATGAACTTATAGAGAATATGAAGACATGATAAGGAACATAGGGAATACAAAGAATGAACACTGAACATGTGAAGAACAAGCTAAGAACATTGAGAACATGAATATTGAGTATAAAAGTTATACAGAGAACATATGATGTACATGAAAACATGACAAAGAACATAGTGAACATATGGGGAAAATGGTAGAAAACAGAAAACTTGAGAAAACCAGGTGAAAAATTTTGAACTGAGCATGCTATGAACATTTGTAGAACATGGAATGAACACAGAAAACATGTAAAAAATGTGAAGAACACAGGTGATTATAGAGAAAATATGCAAATACAGTATGATTATTGAAGGTTTGGATACGTCGGGGGATGAGAATGGTAAGGTAATTACTCTGATAAACAGATAGACTGGAGAGGGGCTTGATCGGATATATTTATGTTCGATGATCTAAGACTGAGGAAATGGAGCTTGGCTAATGTCCAGATTAATTTTTACTACGTTAGAAATAAGGTGATCTTAAATCTCAGGGTGATTTAGTTGGAAAATAAAGCTGGGGGGGGGGACAAGAGTTGACTTGTACAAAATGAACTAAAATGCCGGGGTGTTTACAAGAGTTGAAACTTGATAACTGAACTGGTTTTATTTACTATGTCTGAAATACAGAGGGTAAAAATTTCAGGGAAATTGATGGGTTATTTACAAATATACGAGAGAGAACTAAGGTGGGGACGAGAGCTGGAGCTCAGTAACTGACTTGATCTTATTTACTAACTTTGAAGTATGTCTGCTTTTAAATTTTGGGGAAAATTGATCTGTTACTAACGATCTTGTACAAATGAACTAAGCTGGGGGACAAGAGCTAGAGTTTGATAATTGTTTGGATTTACTAAACTACGTCTGAAATACAGAGGGTAGAAATTTCAGGGAATTTGATAGGATAATACCGAAGACACGAGAGGGAAGTAAGGCGGGGGATGAGAGCTGGAGCTCAGTAACTGACTTGATCTTATTTACTGTGTCTGAAATACAGAGGGTAAAAATTTCAGGGAATTTGATTAGGTTGACGAAGATGTGCGAGGGAACTAAGGTGGAGGACAAGAGCTGGAGCTCGGTAACTAAATTACTGTATTGAACTACGTTTGAAATATGATTATTTTTAAATTTTAGAGGGATTGGACTGTTAGTATTCATTATACGACAGGGGACTAAGGCGGGGGATAGGAGCTTGAGCTCGATACCAAAATTATTGTATTTTAATACGTTTGAAATAGCTGTGTTTTAAATCTCGAAGAAAATGATTGGATACTAAAGAAGATGTATTAGTAAAACTAAGCTGGGAATGTGAGCTAGTCCCTGACTTTGTTTATATATGTAAAACTGAATAGTTTATTGAAAAGGAACTATGAATGAACAATATGAAGGAGAGAGAGGGACGGTCCAGATATTATGGAGAAGATAAGATAAGAGGTGACCTGCATGCAGCGTCTGGCTGGCTGGCATAAGGTAAATAAAGGCGACGCGAGAGATTGTGAGGTAAGGGGGGGAGGGAGGGGGGTGTGAGGTATATGAGTGGGAGATGCAGGGGGAGGGAAAGGTGAGGGAGGGGGGATGGCAGGGAAATGAATCAGATATATAGTAATATACAAGTTTCTAAGTAAGAAACAAATAAGAACTTTTAACAAAACTCATATGACATTATTTCATGATAAGACCTTTAACAAACTTCTAAAGTCTCGGAAATTATTTTTCATCATAAGAACTTTAACAAACTCGTATGACATTATTTTTCATTATAAGAACTTTAACAAAATTCTAAAATCTGTGACTGACAAAATTACCTGAAAACCCTGGCTCATAAACACGAATTTGAATTTCTCCCATAAGACCTTTAACAAACTTCTAAGTTTCGGAAATTAATTTTTCTCTTAAGAAATCCTTACTTCCAAATCTGTGACTGACAAAATTTACCTGAAAACCCTGGCACACACGCGGGATATTGGAACCTCAAAACCCTGGCCCGTACAGGGGATATTGGACCTGAAAACCCTGGCCCGCACAGGGGATATTGGACCTGAAAACCCTGGCCCGCACAGGGGATATTTGACCTGAAAAAAAAATATCGTCTGTGGGGTGTCATCCCTACTACTGAGGCCAGGGTGGAGAGAGTATAGTGTGGAGGCCAGGGTGGAGAGTACAGTGTGGAGGCCAGGGTGGAGAGAGTATAGTGTGGAGGCCAGGGTGGAGAGTACAGTGTGGAGGCCAGGGTGGAGAGAGTATAGTGTGGAGGCCAGGGTGGAGAGTACAGTGTGGAGGCCAGGGTGGAGAGAGTACAGTGTGGAGGCCAGGGTGGGGAGTACAGTGTGGAGGCCAGGGTGGGGAGTACAGTGTGGAGGCCAGGGTGGAGAGAGTATAGTTTTGAGGCCAGGGTGGAGAGAGTACAGTGTGGAGGCCATGGTGGAGAGTACAGTGTGGAGGCCAGGGTGGAGAGAGTATAGTGTGGAGGCCAGGGTGGGGAGTACAGTGTTGAGGCCAGGGTGGAGAGAGTATAGTTTTGAGGTCAGGGTGGAGAGAGTACAGTGTGGAGGCCAGGGTGGAGAGAGTATAGTTTTGAGGCCAGGGTGGAGAGAGTATAGTGTGGAGGCCAGGGTGGAGAGAGTACAGTGTGGAGGCCAGGGTGGAGAGAGTATAGTGTGGAGGCCAGGGTTGAGAGAGTATAGTGTGGAGGCCAGGGTGGAGAGAGTATAGTGTGGAGGCCAGGGTGGAGAGAGTATAGTGTGGAGGCCAGGGTGGAGAGTACAGTGTGGAGGCCAGGGTGGAGAGAGTACAGTGTGGAGGCCAGGGTGGAGAGTACAGTGTGGAGGCCAGGGTGGGGAGTACAGTGTGGAGGCCAGGGTGGAGAGAGTATAGTTTTGAGGTCAGGGTGGAGAGAGTACAGTGTGGAGGCCAGGGTGGAGAGAGTATAGTTTTGAGGCCAGGGTGGAGAGAGTATAGTGTGGAGGCCAGGGTGGCTAGGGGTGTTGTTACTGTGACTCACCGCCAGCATTAACAATAACCTACAGTAAGCCGGGTGACCGAGCTAACCATCACTGTGCCCCTCAGCGCGCCTTCAGGCTGCACAAGGAGCACGAGACAGAAATTGCCGAGTCTCTGGTGCAGAGAATACGCGAGCTGCAGGACGCTGGCGCCGAGGTCAACATCCACACCGTTCCCTGCCAGGCGCACCACCTCGCTCTCCCGCCTGACCACAGGTGAGTTACACGACGCGTCACCTGACCTCACTGTCCCTATACAAATGTGTGGGTTTTTATCCTATGTTATTATGTTTGTGAGAAAACATTATTACCATTATTAACTCATGGTAAAGTTTATTTTGTTGCACCTGGTGGTGGTTGTTGTTGTATTGTGTGTTGCACCTGGGTGGTGGTTGTTGTATTGTGTGGCACCTGGTGTTGTGGTACTTGTATTGTGTGGCACCTGGTGTGGTGGTTGTTGTGGTTGTGTGTGGCACCTGGTGTGGTGGTTGTTGTATTGTGTGGCACCTGGTGTGGTGGTGTTGTATTGTGTGGCACCTGGTGTGGTGGTTGTTGTATTGTGTGGCACCTGGTGTGGTGGTTGTTGTATGTGTGTGGCACCTGGTGGTGGTTGTTGTATTGTGTGGCACCTGGTGTGGTGGTTGTTGTACTGTGTGGCACCTGGTGTGGTGGTTGTTGTACTGTGTGGCACCTGGTGTGGTGGTTGTTGTACTGTGTGGCACCTGGTGGTGGTTGTTGTACTGTGTGGCACCTGGTGTGGTGGTTGTTGTACTGTGTGGCACCTGGAGTGGTGGTTGTTGTATTGTGTGGCACCTGGAGTGGTGGTTGTTGTGGTGGTGTGTGGCACCTGGTGTGGTGGTTGTTGTATTGTGTGTGGCACCTGGTGTGGTGGTTGTTGTTGTGTGGCACCTGGTGTGGTGGTTGTTGTATTGTGTGGCACCTGGTGGTGGTTGTTGTATTGTGTGGCACCTGGAGTGGTGGTTGTATTGTGTGGCACCTGGTGTGGTGGTTGTTGTATTGTGTGTGGCACCTGGTGGTGGTGGTTGTATTGTGTGTACCTGGAGTGGTGGTTGTATTGTTGTACCTGGAGTGGTGGTTGTTGTATGTGTGGCACCTGGAGTGGTGGTTGTTGTATTGTACTGGCACCTGGTGTGGTGGTGTGTATTGTGTGGCACCTGGTGTGGTGGTTGTATTGTGTGGCACCTGGTGTGGTGGTTGTTGTTGTGTGTACCTGGAGTGGTGGTACTTGTTGTATTGTGTGGCACCTGGTGTGGTGGTTGTATTGTGTGGCACCTGGTGTGGTGGTTGTATTGTGTGGCACCTGGTGTGGTGGTTGTTGTATTGTGTGGCACCTGGAGTGGTGGTTGTATTGTGTGGCACCTGGTGGTGGTTGTTGTGTGGCACCTGGTGTGGTGGTTGTTGTATTGTGTGGCACCTGGAGTGGTTGTTGTATTGTGTGGCACCTGGAGTGGTGGTTGTTGTACTGTGGCACCTGGTGTGGTGGTTGTTGTATTGTGTGGCACCTGGTGTGGTGGTTGTATTGTGTGGCACCTGGAGTGGTGGTTGTTTGTGTGGCACCTGGAGTGGTGGTTGTATTGTGTGGCACCTGGTGTGGTGGTTGTTGTATTGTGTGGCACCTGGAGTGGTGGTTGTATTGTGTGGCACCTGGTGGTGGTTGTTGTATTGTGTGGCACCTGGTGTGGTGGTTGTTGTATTGTGTGGCACCTGGAGTGGTGGTTGTATTGTGTGGCACCTGGTGTGGTGGTTGTTGTTGTACTGGCACCTGGTGTGGTTGTTGTACTATTGTGGCACCTGGTTGTTGTGGTTGTTGTATTGTGTGGCACCTGGAGTGGTGGTGTTGTATTGTGTGGCACCTGGTGTGGTGGTTGTTGTTGTGGTGGCACCTGATTGTGGTTGTACTGTTATGGTGTGGTGGTGTTTGTTGTGGTTACCTGGTGGTGGTTGTGTGTGGCACCTGGTGTGGTGGTTGTTGTATTGTGTGTGGCACCTGGTGGTGGTTGTTGTATTGTGTGTGGCACCTGGTGTGGTGGTTGTTGTATTGTTATGGCACCTGGTGGTGGTGGTTGTTGTATTGTGTGGCACCTGTTGTGGTGGTATGTTGTATTGTGTGGCACCTTATGTGGTGGTTGTTGTATTGTGTGTACCTGGTGTGGTGGTTGTTGTATTGTGTGGCACCTGGTGGTGGTGGTTGTACTGTTATTGTGGTGGCACCTGGTGTGGTGGTTGTTGTATTGTGTGGCACCTGGTGTGGTGGTTGTGTGTTGTTATGGTGTGTTGTACCTGGTGTGGTGGTGTTGTGTTGTACTGTTATGGTGGTGGTTGTTGTATTGTTATGGTGTGTGGTTGTTGTACTGTTGTATGGTGGTACCTGGTGTGGTGGTTGTTGTGTGTGTATGGCACCTGGTGTGGTGGTTGTTGTATTGTGTGGCACCTGGTGTGGTGGTTGTTGTGTTGTGGTGGTACCTGGTGTGGTGGTTGTTGTGGTGGTGTGTGGTACCTGGTGGTGGTGGTTGTTGTGTTGTGTGGCACCTGGTGTTGTGGTTGTATTGTGTGTGGCACCTGGTGTGGTGGATGTATTGTGTGTGGCACCTAGTGTGGTGGTTGTTGTATTGTGTGTGGCACCTAGTGTAGTGGTTGTTGTATTGTGTGTGGCACTTGATGTGGTGGTTGTTGTATTGTGTGGCACCTGGTGTGGTGGTTGTTGTATTGTGTGGCACCTGGTGTGGTGGTTGTTGTTGTATGTGGCACCTGGTGTGGTGGTTGTATTGTGTGGCACCTGGTGTGGTGGTTGTTGTTGTATGTGGCACCTGGAGTGGTGGTTGTATTGTGTGGCACCTGGTGTGGTGGTTGTTGTTGTATGTGGCACCTGGTGTGGTGGTTGTTGTATTGTGTGGCACTTGATGTGGTGGTTGTTGTATTGTGTGGCACCTAGAGTGGTGGTTGTATTGTGTGGCACCTGGTGTGGTGGTTGTTGTATTGTGTGGCACCTGGTGTGGTGGTTGTTGTATTGTGTGGCACCTGGTGTGGTGGTTGTTGTATTGTGTGGCACCTAGAGTGGTGGTTGTATTGTGTGGCACCTGGTGTGGTGGTTGTTGTATTGTGTGGCACCTGGTGTAGTGGTTGTATTGTGTGGCACCTGGTGTGGTGGTTGTTGTATTGTGTGGCACCTGGTGTGGTGGTTGTATTGTGTGGCACCTGGTGTGGTGGTTGGTTGTATTGTGTGGCACCTGGTGTGGTGGTTGTTGTATTGTGTGGCACCTAGAGTGGTGGTTGTATTGTGTGGCACCTGGTGTGGTGGTTGTATTGTGTGGCACCTGGTGTGGTGGTTGTATTGTGTGGCACCTGGTGTGGTGGTTGTTGTATTGTGTGGCACCTGGTGTGGTGGTTGTATTGTGTGGCACCTGGTGTGGTGGTTGTATTGTGTGGCACCTGGTGTGGTGGTTGTTGTATTGTGTGGCACCTGGAGTGGTGGTTGTTGTATTGTGTGTGGCACCTGGTGTGGTGGTTGTTGTATTGTGTGGCACCTGGTTTGGTTGTTGTTGTATTGTGTCTGGCACCTGGTGTGGTGGTTGTTGTATTGTGTGGCACCTGGTGTAGTGGTTGTTGCATTGTGTGGCACCTGCTGTAGTGGTTGTTGTATTGTATGGCACCTGATGTAGTGGTTGTTGTGTTGTGTGTGTGGCACCTGGAGTGGTGGTTGTTGTATGGTGTGGCACCTGGTGTAGTGGTTGTTGTATTGTGTGACACCTGATGTGGTGGTTGTTGTATTGTGTGTGGCACCTGGTGTTGTTGTGTTTGTATTTTGTGTTGCACCTGGAGTGGTGGTTGTTGTATGGTGTGGCACCTGGAGTGGTGGTTGTTGTATGGTGTGGCACCTGGAGTGGTGGTTGTTGTATGGTGTGGCACCTGGAGTGGTGGTTGTTGTATGGTGTGGCACCTGGTGTAGTGGTTGTTGTATTGTGTGTCACCTGGTGTGGTGGTGGTTGTATTGTGTGTGGCACCTGGTGTGGTGGTTGTTGTATTGTGTGTGGCACCTGGTGTGGTGGTTGTTGTATTGTGTGGCACCTGGTGTGGTGGTGGTTGTATTGTGTGTGGCACCTGGTGTGGTTGTTGTATTGTGTGTGGCACCTGGTGTGGTTGTTGTATTGTGTGTGGCACCTGGTGTGGTTGTTGTATTGTGTGTGGCACCTGGTGTGGTGTGTGGGAAAAACCTGCTGGGATTGATATAAGAGGAGACTACCAGGGACTTGTACTGAACTAAATTAAAAATTTACTGTCTGCAAATTAATTCAATTAAAATCTCTAGCTAGGGTTGTAAATCCTAGATCCTCTTTTCCTAATGACAGACTGTGGGCTGTAAGGGACAGGTGGGGTGAATGACTTAGTTGATAGAAGTTCCAATCCACCTGTAGACAGGGATCTCACATCAGCTTGTATTTTATACAAGGATAAGATTTGATAAATTCAGTTATCTGACTGAACACTGGCTCTGTTTAAATCAGAGATTTAAACATACATAGTCTAACCTAGTACCATAACTTAACAGCCAATATGTTCTTATACTATAAACAACAAATTAAATTGTAAAAGTATAATAAATGACCTTAAATGTAGTCTTAATACTATTAACTTAGTACTAGAAATTATATTCAATTAAATGAACTTATATGATAACTTATAAATAACTAAGCAAGCAATTGATAACTTAATTTATATATTCAAATATATATGCAGACATATTCACTTTATACAGTTAGCTTGACTGAATCTCTTCCAAGACTGTGGACACTTGTGAGGTTTTTACTTATTGAGGCTGAATTCTTTTCTGACAGAATGGACACTCATGAGGTTCAGTGCTTGGATAAGATTCACAGCTACACTACAATTTTAATAAACTTACTGAAATGTGAGGCTTAGCCTCGCTTTTTAACCAACAGACAGATTTATAGGATATTAAAGCTACACAAGCATACAATTGGCCAATCATATACCAAATAACCTTCAATATACTTCTCTGCCAGTCGGGGTGCCTGTCTGACAAGTTTGCCAGACTGATTAACTCTCTCTTGTTGAGTTTAGGCACGATATTTTGCTACAGCGTTGCTGTATGATGATCTGGTAGCGTTGCTACGTGATTATCCTGCAGTTGCAGAAGAATGATTCGAGATAAAAGTTTATGAATGAAGGTGGAGGAA